TTGTGATGCGTTGTCGGTATTGTCTCCACTTGAATTTTTTTTTTGGGAAGAGTTTTCCAACACGCGATTAAACAGAAAGTGAACTGGACTCCCGCCTTGGATACTTTGTGGTAAATGTCACTCTTTGGAAGTGCGTGTGGGATTAAAGTGAAAACAAGCATTGCCTTGTATCTCGGTTGGATATTTTCCCCGACAAATACTTGTTCACTTTCCAAATAACACGCTCATCCGACGAAATTGAACCCCACATTTTAGGGTTTAATAAATTTAGGCCTAGTCACGTACTCCGTTCATTTATGAAGGGATGGCAAACTATAAAACCTTCACGGAATTATTGTCTTTTTTGTTTTAATGTTGTTGATATTGTTTTATTTATATTTTAATTATCAATTTTAAAAAAATTAATAATGACTTTAATATATTTTTATATAATATTAAAATTAATTTTTAGTATTTATTAAAATAATCGTTTAAATTTTTACTTTTTTTTAAATATTTTACCTCTAACATTTTATTTGAAGAAAAAAAATTAACTGATTCTATTCTATATGTAGTGGGGTAAGGGGAGGTAGGATTCGATCAGAGAACTCAGCCCAATCTTGCTGACTTGTGTTCGGTGTACGTGAGTTGATTCGATCAGAGAACTCAGCTGCAAGAGGAGGGATGAACTCGGTGGAAGGTTTAGTGACTCAAATCCAGGGGCTATCTACCACTGCCTCTGATTATTTGATGCTTCAAAATCTGCTTAAACGAGTTAATGACTCGCTCCATGCCGACTGGACTCGGTTGTTGCCTTTTCTCGACCAACTTGACCCTTCCAACTACTCCCCTCTATTTCCTGTGACTTATTTTTAATTTGGCGCTTAAAAGATGAAAAATAATTGGTAAAGAGTTGGATTTATGGTTGAACAGTGAGGCATGCATGGCTGGTGCAGTTACAAAAGTGCAAGCTAGTTCATATGTGCTAATCATTGCCAGATTTATCAGTTCATGTGTTTCTCAGCAAATTCGAATTGGCTTCTCATGATAAGTGTATTACTCTTACTCTTACATTGAATCAAATTATATATTAAAGTTGTAGAATTTTATGCTTGTTTGGTGTTATTGCTTCTGTTGATCCTACCATGGTTTCTAGTTATAATCAGGGATAGATTGAAGAGAGCGATTGGGTTGTTATCTCTTTGATTAAAATATAATTTTTAATTTTATTGTAAAAGTAGTTGATATGGAGTTCTTTAATCATTTTGTCTACTTTTTTTAGGGTCAACTGTACGTTTAATACCTCAACTATCATTTTTGTTCTATTATAGTCATTTAACTATTTTTAATTTAAATTATACTTAACGTTATAGTTTCATTTCGATCATTCACTGTTAAAATTAATAGAACTATTGACGTTATATTGTTTAATTTTTTATCATTTAACATCACCGTTTAATTTTTTAACAGCAGATGACTATAATAAAACCAAAACTAAACGTTAAGTATGGTTTAAAAAATAGTTAGGTGACTAAAATAAAATAAAAGTGATAGTTGAGGTACTAAATGTGTAGTTTACTTTTTTAGGATAAACTACACAAATGATCACTGATGTTTGAATAAATTTTTGTTTTCCTCACTAAAATTTCAAAAGTAACAAATCAATCACTCGATGTTAACCGTTATTAATGTGGGTGACAGAAAACTTACCAAACCTGTTAATCGCTTACTTAAACCGATGATTGCCTTGTTGGACTCCTTGTTGACCAGCGCTTAATAACCCAGTTTCACCTTCATCTTCCACCCCTCTCGAACACCAAACTCTTTGTTGCAGGTCCCATTTTTTCTCTCTTTCTCGCCTTCAATCTTAGGAGTTAATATTTCTTTCTCAAATTAAATTATATATTTTCTCACGATCTAATTACAATTAACTGTATAAAGCACGTATTTTACATAAGATTTCATGCAAATTTAGGGTATGTTTGTTTGTTTCATGTAAAATAATTTCCATAAAACGTTTTCCTCATTTTCATGATCAACAAAATTTCCTTTGCATTTTCTGAAAAATGACTTACGGTTTGATTTTACGTAAGTCATTTTCCGAACTTTTCACTTCAAAGATTAAATACTCAAAATAATATTATTTTATGCATTTAATAGTAATATGATGTTTTAGTATCATTCTAATAAAATTATTAATTATTAATGTATTTAAAATATATTTATTAATATTTTTAACAATATAATATAATATATTATAATAATATTATTATATTGTTAGTTATATTACAATAATATATGATATTAGTATATTCATATTTTGACAATATATAATAAATTATTAATCAAAGTTATATTATTTATTAATTTCTTTATAATATTATTAAATTATTAATAATAAATAATATTATTTATAAATTTAATATTAATATAATAGTCTAATAATATTTTAATAAAAATACTTAAAATATATTTATTACTAATTTTAAAAATATAATATACTATTCTTATTTTAATATATCTTTAATACAATTTATAATATTTTTATTTTAATAGAATATAATAATCTTAACATTTTTATTTATAAAATTTTAGAAACAATATTTTAATAATAATATTAACATAAATAATATTAAATAAATTATTCTAATATTTTTAAAATGATAATATTAAGTTTTTATAATAAATAATATTATTTATTATACTTCATATTTGCAATAAATAATTTCTAAAAAATTTATCAATCAGTGGAAAATGGCTTACACAACATCTTTCAAATATCGTAAAATATTTTTTAAAAGATGTTAGAAAAATATTTTTCAAAAAATATTTTCTGTAAAACAAACGTAAAATATTTTTCGAAAGATAAAAAAAATTTCCAAAAAATATTTTCAATAAAACAAACGTACTCTTATATTTTGCTCGAAGGATTCTCCCACTGAACAAGTTCCCTTATTCCTTCTTAAATTTTCCTCGTTTCTGTTGTTAAAGGTTTAGTGCAATAACCCAAGGCACTCTAACTTAATATCATCTGGTTCTTAATCTCCTTATCACCTTCAATGCCTTGCATCACATCAACAGCTTCATTTGAATGTTGAAGAAATGAATTTAGAAACTTGTCCATTTCATCTTAATCGTCATTTGAATCATAAATACTTGAATTTTTCGGGTATGGTGATCTTCCCTTCTCGACATCATAAGAAATGTTGTTCTTTTCAAGCTCCTTGTCAAGTATAGGGATGGATTTGATTGATGTTATCTTTCTAAGATATTTTATTAAAGATCCAATTGACTCTTACCGTCTAATTTATTTACGGTTCCCTTCCAAAAAGTTTCGAATTTGACCGTACATCTTGCTTTGCTTTAGGAAAGTTGTAAAGATAAACCATGGAAGAAGAGACAAACCATATTGGCAAGAACCTTTCAGAAAGAAAGCACCCAGTAACTCCATATACTATCTCCAAGGTTGTTCCTTGTGCCTTAACATTTGTCATCTTAAATGTTGCCTCTGCTCCGGCGGCAAAGCTAATAGCTACAGGGAGTCCCGACCAGAATTTATTGGGCTTACTATATATGAAACCAAATAGAACCACAAATCCTAAAGAAAGCAAGAACTTGACAGCAGGCTTGATCTTTTAGCTCGTAAGTCCACAGCTGCTCCAAACCTCCTTGAAGGAGAAACAATTTGTTTCCGACGAAATGGGTTCTGATTTTATCAGATTATTAATTGCTGGTGAATTTCTTATGGCAGTGAACTTAATAAGTCTCTTCATTTCTCTACCAAACTACCAATGCTTATGTTCGTGATTGGAGAGGGAAAGAAGATGTTATAGAAGTTTTAAAGGCCCGGTCAAGAAGGAGTCGAATTTAGCGGTCAACGGTCCAAGTAAACAGTTAACAGGCTAGATAAACTTTCTGTCACCCCGATCAGATTAACGGTCGTTAACATTGAAAGCCCGTAAGGGTTAGCTAACGTGACACTCAACAGCCGTTAATCCCCCTTCTTCTTCTTCTTTTCTCACTCCACCTCCGGTCAGCGGTGGCTCATACCGCCATCACCATCGTCACCGGCTTCGCCTCCCGACCACACCTGACCCTTGATTCATACTCACCTTGCTAGCCACTCGCCAAAATTCACCTCCGTTCGTCGTAGAGAGAGCCCTGAATCTCGTTGAAAAACCCCAATACCCATTTTCTGTTTTCATCAATTTTTGGCCAATTGGATCATCCATTCGCCACACCGCCACCCCCGTTGGAGTCCTCACACTGTTTCGACCAAAACTCATTCGGTCGTGCCTCCTTACTGTCGTTCCTTCTCCATCCGCCGTTGGTTAAAAAGGAGAAGAAAGAGAAGAAGAAGAATAATAGGGGGTTAACGGCCGTTAAGTTCTACGTTAGCTAACTCTAACGGAAGATAACGATAGGGACCTTACTGAAAATGAACTAAAAGTTCGATGATTGTATTGCAAGTTTCAAAAGTTAGGTGACCAAAATGCAAGTACCCTAAAAGCTAGGGGACTATTTATATACTTTACCTTCTTTTAAATATAAAAGTTAAAAAAAATTATAAATTTTAAAAATATATAAAATTTTAAAAAATATAAACACGACACAATATTAATTAACGGAGGTTTTTAATGATTGTTATGGTGTATGCACTTACAAATATAATGTTTGAAACGTTAGATACTTATTTTGAACAAAAAATTTTTTATACACCTAAAATTAAATTAGGGAAATAGTGGAGGTATGAATTTTTTTTTTTTTTTGAAAAATGAGGTGGTTGAGAATTATTTTGGGATTTAGGTTATTTGTTACAATGCACATGAAACTCGTCACATAGGCATGACGAGTTCTATAAAATATATTAAAAATTAAAACTCATTATGGAATCGTGACAAGTTTCATACAATTTTGTTCTATATCATATGACGAGTTCTAATTTTTAATATATTTTATAAACTCATCACGTGAGGTAAACTCGGTGACCGTTTTCCTCAACCATATGCAAATGAACAAGCAGCTAGGTTTGCCAATGGAGGAGCTTATCCTCCTGATCTAAGTCTCATTACCAAAGCACTTCTTGCTTCGCTTTTTAGATCAATGTGGAAATTATGGTTTATATATTACTGAGGTGTCTACTTTTTTCTGTCAGGCTCGTCATAATGGCCAGAATTTTGTGTTTTCTCTTCTAACTGGTTACCGTGATCCTCCTGCTGGTGTTACGGTAAATTCTGCTTCAGCCTATCATGTACAACCTGACATTAAAAACGCCACATGTTGGCTCTGTAGAAAGATTCTGTAGGTGATCATATCTACATATTTCGCAATAGGGTGGATAAGATGTGCACTGAAGTCGGGATAAAATTTTATGGCTTTCCAATGAGAAATGCTATGGCTTGCAGATGCAGCTATAATTCTGAAATTAAGCATTGATTTCCCCTTTACTATAGTTTTTTCTGTTTAATTTTTGCATGCGTGCGACCTAAATTTACACCTTGTTAGGCTAAATGTGTCTGGTCTCCAATGAATATTTTTTGTTGTTGAAACTATAACCCATACTTTCCCGGGGGAGCAATTGCCATGCCTAAAATGCTTATCGATGGTGCTATGGAGTACGAAGATGGCACACCTGCAACTGAAGCTCAGGTTGGTTTCTAGTTTTTTGTTCCATTTTGAGAACCCTCTGATGTATTTGCACATTTTATGGGGTACACGGCTCACGCTTTTGTATCGTTATTGTATAGATGGGGAAAGACGTGGCTACATTTTTGTCATGGGCAGCAGAACCGAAAATGGAAGAAAGGAAGCTGGTGCGTATTATTATAACGATTGATTCATCGAATGACGGACCTTTGTTTTAACAAAACTTATTCCCGACATTTCCGTCGTCTAATGCAGATGGGTTTTAAATGGATATTCGTATTGTCGTTGGCATTGCTTCAAGCTGGTTATTACCGGCGCCTGAGGTGGTCTGTTCTCAAATCTCGCAAGCTGATTGTTGATGTCGTCAACTAGTCACCCCGGTAACATCAACTAGCCGCCCTCCGGTTTATATCATGCTTATTTGTTTTTCACGGATTCAGAAATAATAGATTTTGAGATGATGTAGGTTCTGCTTTGATCAGTTCGCTGGTTGTTTTCTCAAGTGCCAATGGAGTGATCTGAGAAGAAATAAGCACAGCGTACATGCGTTAAGTTCTGCTTTGACACTTGAGAATTTTGTTTATATCTTTCCTTTCGATGCCTTCTTTTTTGTGATAATTATCTTGGAACAATAAAAATTTATTTGATGTACCCTTTTCTTTTAATTACCATTTTAATACTTCTGTAATAGTTTTTTATTTAATTATATTATATATTAGTTTAATGAGAATGAAAGGAATTTTTGTCAACCAATTTGTAAAGACCTTGTTAATAGTTAACCAATCATTTGTTAATAGTTCACCTTTATATATCTTATAACGTGATGTTTCTTTTTCTTTATTATTACACTAATAGTTAACCAATCATGTGTTAATAATTTAATGGTTCAACATTAATATACTACTAGCTAATCACTACTTTTTTATATTATTTATTTTTCAATTTGACTAAATTTATATCTAACTTGATCTAAAATAAAAAATTGACCGATTCAATATTGACCCATCTCAAACTTAACTCGATCCAACTTACTATAAACTCGAATTAAATTTAAATACAATTCAATAGGACCTAATCAAATCTAAATCACATACGATATAACCTCAAAATAATAAGACCCAACATGACTTAACCTAAATCCAATTCAAATGACATGATTGCCACCTTTATTCTCGAATTCCAAATCAAGAATCAAACATACAAAAATAACATTATTAACCTCAATCTCATAATTGATGTTCATGCATGAAACCAAAAATGATAGATTTTGACCTATAAGTTCATTACATTGCTAGATGAAAGGAAATCACCATCTACTCTTATCCTTTTGAAGCTTAACACATGAACATTTACTTCTCTTCTTAATTTAAACATGTTCTAAGGAATTTCTTTAATGCTCTAGCTTTCTCTCAGGTTTGGAGCTCTTATCAATGGTGGAAAATGAAAAATGGGGTGATGGAGAGGATGGAAGAAAATGATTATTTTTTCTCCTTAAATTCGGTGGAGTGCTTTTTCAAGGAAAATCATGTTATATATGTATATATGTATATAGGCTAGTATCCAATTACATAGTGCAAAATTAAAAACATCCTTTTAAGATCATTGGAGGGGAGAAATAAAATATTGACATTAGCAGTAGAAATTGAAAATATATTCACTGGGAAAAATGAGCTAACCTTATCCTTTAATTTCCCCTCAACATTTAAACTAAAAGTTTTACACCAAGTATAAGTGGATCCTAACCTCTCTATATATATCCTTAAAATTATATACCATATCATATAATATATACACATATATTAAGAATTTGTCAAATATCATTTTAATTCCACTATCTTTATTAAAGGTATAATTTTCATACAAAAATCATACTTTCTCATTTAAAACATTTTAGTTATTACTATAAAAATCTCATAAACAATGGCAAAAGTCATATGATAATAATTTATCCTTTTGTTGAGTAGGGGTAGGAGTGCTTAACGAGCTGAGCAACTTGAACTCAACTCGGTCAAAATTCGGTAAACGCTCGACTCAAACTTAACTTGAGATCTTAACGAGCTGAACCAAGCAAAGTCTAACTCGATTCGATAAGTTAGCGAGCAGCTCGTTAATTTTTAAAATATATTTTTAGTAATTACTTTAAAATTATTTCATTCAAAAAATAAATCTAAATAAAAATTATTAGTTTATTAATAAATAATGATAAAAATAATAAGTTAACTAATCTATTATTTTTTAATAAATAATAAAATATTATAATTAATAGTATCATTTTAATACAAAAAAAACTCAACCCTAATATCCTCATATAGTATTAGTAAATTTTATTTTTAGTTAAAAAAATAAAGTGAATTTTTTAGTGAGCTTAACGAGCAACGAGTCGAGCTTAACAAGCAACGAGTGGAGTCAAGCAGCAAATTTTTTTAACGAGCACGAGTCGAGCACAAATTTAACGAGCTTAACGAGCAACAAATCGAGTCGAGCAGCAAATTTTTTTAATGAGCACGAGTCAAGCACTACCCAACTCGTGATCAACTCGCTCGATAAACACCCCTAGTAGGGAGTAAGAACATGATTTTCAATCAAACTATGTAAAATCTTTCTTCACAAATTTCTTCACGAATTACTCTCTTAATTTACTCTACCAAAATATGTAAAATATCCTTTTGTATCTTAGGCGAAGTGTAAGAAGCATTTTTTGAGCATTTTCTAATATAACTTTTTCAACATCTTTATTATAAGAGGCTAATTGTTTCACGAGTTTAAGAAAAATTCTTCGATTAGATGAAGATTCAGTTTCTTCACGACTTCTCATTGGTAACCCTTGTAAAGCTAGCCAATGCAATGCATCTATAGATATTTCAAGTCTAAGCCAATTATTAGCAATTTGTAATGATGTTTGCCTATGCAACACTTGCTGCAAGTGAAAAAAATCCTTCAATTCTTGCTTAGTAATTTTATGAGATGAATTAAGTTCTGAACCTACATGCATCTTAAAATAACTTTTTTCATTTACTTTCTTTTAATTCAAAACTCGTTCATAGTGAAAGTCTTGTGCGATGAATGATTATCTGGCTTGTTAAAAAGAAAGCAAATAAAACATAAGGCATTATCATTTCAAGAGAATATTCTACCCATGAACAAAAATTTTTGTGCCAATGAAGCTTAAAATCGACGAGGGTAAGAAACATGTACATATTTTTTGAATTCAGAGAGCACTGATTGATATGAACCCTTAACAATATAAGCTCTTCGAATTGCATTTCTTTCTTATTCAGAAAGTTATTCCTACATTTGCTTTTGCTTATTAAGATCTCGCTCCAAGTAATTAGAGTTAGTATTTGATTTCTGATTTCTAGCTATCTTTAAAGATCTATCTTCCGAAGATGAAACATCAATAGGTGTACAAGGTGAAACATTGTACTTGTATTTTTCAAAGTTTCCCGTTTTTCTCTTAAAAGTTCAATAATTGCTAGATTTCCCCCTATGACAAGCTACATTTATATAAAATTAATTCACGAACATAAAAAATCAAATTTAATAATAACCATTCACATTAACAGTTATTAAATTAATTAAAAGAATACTAAAATTAAATAAAATATCAAATAATTCTAATTAAAAATAATAAATATAATATTATTTAATTGAGTACCTTTAAAAATTCAGTGACAAACAATAAAGAATCATATTAAAACAATATTGAAGGAGATTTAGTCGATGGAAGAGTGATTAATTCAAGATATTTCTATAAAATATTTCAATATTTTACTCTATTTATAAATTTTTGACGAGTCTTACAATTATATTAAGACTAGGGTAATAAAAACATAAAATTGGAGCAGGGGTCAATACCACTTTGGGCCCTTGTCTTTGGTCTTGATTATGATTTTTTTAAAAATATATTTAAAATTATTATTTTAAAAAAACTAATTTTTTCTGAAATTATATATAATAAAAAACTCAAAAGTCCCAAAATAAAAAACCTTAATTTCAATCTCCTTTCCATCGTTGATTTCCATTAATGCCGTCAACGACCTTGACGACGAGCGACCATTCGAATACTCATCAGTCAAACCCCACGCTTCAAGCGACGATCAAGAGAGCACCGGTGTAAACAGACGTAGGTGGAGGAGTATATATACAAGTATATATACACAACATATATACACACACAGAAATAGCAGCAGAAAATATTGTAATAGGCTCAAAAGTAACACACGCCAGGCTTGATTTACAAACTAATAATGGTAGCAGGGTGAAGTGAATCCCATATTCAACCGACGTAGGTGAAGGACTATATATACAAGTATATATACACTATATATACAAGTATATATACACTATATATACACAGGAGAAATAGCAGCATAAAATATTGTAATAGGCTCAAAAGTAACACACCATGCTTGATTTACAAACTAATAATGGTAGCGGGGTGAAGTGAATCCCATATTCATGTTCTCAACCCAAAAACACTGGGATTTCAAGACCTACTTTCCATCTACATTATTGATTCAACAGTATCAGTACCACCTTCGTAATTTTCTGTCTCTAGATTCAACACTTCCCATATATATACACTTGCATAGGAAAATTGTACAAGTTTGGTTCTTTCCTTTCGTTTTCGTCCTTCGACGTCGGTCGATGGCCCTTGATCACAAGAACCTTGTCACATTAACTAAAATTCATTAGCTATTAAATATTGAATTCTTTGATTTTTTACTCTTTAAATTAGAGGTGATTAAATATTGAATTCTTAGATTTAAAAAATTAGAGTTGACATAGTAATTACTCTACTTATTATTGAGCATTCTGCTCGTCTGAGGAATCAACTCAGCAATAAAGATATCCTTACTTATTTTAGTGGTCCCAATAGAAGATATAAGATGTCAACTTCCTCCTCGAATATAATGGTTCAGTTAAAGTAGTAGAGAAATTACTATATCAACTTTCCTCACCTAATCATTCATCATTTCAACCACTAAAATTTTCCCAACTTCCTTTTTATTTTATTTTATTCATGTCATTTTTTCAAGGACAAATCTTCACATTTTTCATGTAAATATAGAAATGAGTGGTTACTTGAAAGTTAACTATGAACGGCCTAATGACATACAAGAGAAAAAGTGAATCAAGTAAATTTTACTCATTAAAATCTTGAATAAATAATAAAAAATTCATGAAATAATTTCTCAAAGTAACGGTTACTTAAGTGATGGATTTGTTCTCTTTTGATACGATGCTTTATTTTATTTTTTGTTTTGTTTCTAGTGAGTTGCCTTTGGAAGTTTATTTCTTTATTGATAAAATATAAATTAAAGTATTCCCCATTCATATTATCTGTCGAAACAACAAACAGCTCGTCACCATCTATTATCTATTTTCCAGATAGCCTATCAAAACTTCATATGTATAATAATATATGCGTATTTTGAATTTTACCTGAGCTACAAGTTTTGTCTGAAACTATAACGCGTGTCCAAGAAAGATAAACTTGTACTATGTTATCAGTTAGTTTTCATTCCACCTGTACCTTAATAAAATTAAAAATTATTTAAAGTTTGTACTTTGTCCCCCCCAAGCTATCACCAAACCAATCCTCTTCGACAACCTAACCCTTCTTTTCAAACACTATTAAACCTACTTAAATATATAAATATATATCCAAAATCCTAAGGTTTTGGATTTCTATCAGATACAGAAGAAAATGTTAATGAACTATGAATAAAGAGAATGTTTTGAAGTATAATTAACAAATTAAATTTTTAGTTTTAAATTACTTAAATATTTATATTTTCGAGTTTCGTAAACACAATGCCAATTGCATTTTGTACCATACATTTATTTTTCTTCTTATAATTGTTTTTAGTATTCATTTATATATAACCATAATCCAGTAAAAAAAATGGTACACATTAACTTATTATTATTCTATTATTTCTTTCCTTGGATATATCGTTTACCTTAAAGTCCGAGACTGAGAGCAGCCTCCACGTCGAGCCGCCATACAAAACCACCGTGACCGCCACCAGCACCATCTATTTTCCAGACATCACACGGCAGCATTATCGTGGAACACTTGTTCATCCACGTGAACTGCAACCTTACTTTGCATGAAAATGCAGTGCAAAAATTAGGTAAATCTTTTTTAATCACAAGCCAAACCTTTATCTGTGGCGGCGAAACAGCCGGCAGCCACTCCTTACGCCCTTTCCCCACCGTCAACATCCTCTCATACGCCCGGTTAACCCACTGAACCCTATTGAAACCGTCGGATATAAACCCTGGACATGTGTCGGCCTCCAGATTCTTCATCTTCTCAACGTCCGTACTCCCGAGTTCTCTCCCAGCCATGCAAGTATCCGTCACGCACTCCACCGTAACCCACGACTCAACCACTGTTTCCCTTTCTGTTTGACTCACCACGGCCGTACGATCAGGTTCCGCCGACCGGCTGTTCAAGTTCGAATAAAACAACGAAGGCAGATCTTGATTATTTCCCCCCAAAATTGCAATGTTTTCATCGTTAATTGAACCGTTTGCTTCAGTTTTCTCCGGCAATAACTGCAACGTGACAATCTTTTCAGTTTTATTTGAAGTTTGCTGATCATGATCTGGTGGTAATGGTGGTGATGATGACGATCTTTTATTTCTCTTGATATTATTCTTTCGAACCCTAACGTACTTTCTTTTAGCTCTCGGCTTACAAAGCAACAAGTTTTTGTTACCAACCTGACCCCCACAGGAATCATACTCTCCGGTCATCGGTTTCGGAGCGATTGGCCGGAATCTTAGCACTACCGGATTGATGTTCACCGTTTTGTCTTGCGAACCCCATGCGTAGCTTACAAAGCTCCATTTCTCACCACTGTTATTCATCTTTTCGCTGCCGGGAGGAAAAATCTGATCCTCTTTCACTTTTCTCTGCTTTTCTCTTCAAAATCTCAAATCATTTTTCTCACTTTAAATTTCGGTTTTATTTTTAAGGTTTTTTTCTTTTTCATGAGAAGCATAATCATAGCTGCAAACTAATAGAGAAAACAATACGTGTTTAGGGTAACTTATGAACAGTGAAGATTTTTATTGGATAAAAGTTCAGAAAGATCTACTTACTTTTTTTATATATTTTTATATCAATTCAATTTTATAAATATTTAATGCATCGTAAAGATATAATTTTTTAAAATATATCATATGTTAGCGTGAATTTATATTACTTCAAGGATAAGTAAATTAATATTATTTTTTAAAATATCGGGTTTGAGTATCATTAATATTAGAAATACGAGTAATCAATGTCAAATGATTGAGATTTATCTTTTAATAAATATTAATTTGTATTTAACTCATATTAATATATATTTATATATCATGTGTTATTATTTTATTTATAAATGATATAAAAAAAATTATATAATGAATACATTAAATATTAATAGATATATATATTTACTTTGCATAAAACATAAAACTAATATAATGAAGCACTCGTTTACTTAAATAAAACTATAAACTTATGTAATATTTTCATGAAATTATACCACTCAAAACTGATATAAGTTAGATGTTGATTGATACGATTATATAATATATTAGGAAAAAACAAATATAATATACAAAATTATTTTCAAGTAAATATACGATATTCTATGCTATCAATCTTAATGGAGTTTTTAAACTTCACGCGAAGTTAACATTCAAGACCTTCTGTCTTATCATATAAAAATAAAATTAGTAAACCATATAAGAACTATCAAATTTGCAACTATACCTATATTATAATACATGAAATCAGCTTAGTTAATAAAATTATTAAAATGATAGTAATAATTATAAAATAAAATATATAGCTTTAGTTTTGAACTGAAAATGACTTACAGCTCCTACATACAAATGAGTTCATAAAAAGAGAGGGCTTGAGACTAGAGTTTACCTAGTAATAGTAATAATAATAGTTTTTTTTTATCGAAAATAATAAATAGTTACTTAAAGTAAAACAAAAATGCTTGGACACGTGGACGCCGGCTCGAGAGCGGATCTTTGAATTGAACAAAAGAAGCTTCAAAGAGGGGGAGGTTCGAGAAAGTGCATACGTGGTCTCGCTTCATTAGCCTTGTAATTTTAATAACCTTTTAGCTTCAACCACTCGCCCGTTTCTTCTTCCGCGTTGCATTAAACCTAATTACGTTAGCCAATAGCGAATCAAGCTTTAACATTGGGTTGCGGACAAATGAGTGATATGTACGTACAAAATCAGAGCGTGGAAGGATTTGATATGATGAAACGACAAATATGATGACAGACGCGAGGCTAGATTTGATAAAGACGTGGAATCTATGAGTGGAGAGGAACGCAATTTTCCTTTGATGGGACTGATGCTTCTTCTGCTTCTCCCACGTGGCGATTTCTTTCAGATCGAATGGACAATATATGATTTTGTTTAAATAATTTTTGTGAAATTAAAATAAAGTTTTAGAAATTCATTTGTGAAAGTATTTACTGCTGCAATTGTAATATATATATATCCGAATAATTTAATATTTTAAAAAACATTTTTACATTTAAATAATTTATTCTACCGAATCAGTATCACCTCACTTATAATATAAATTCAATGATGCACTTATATTTAATATAAATATTAATAAACAATACCGTGAAATCTTGCAAGTTTTCTTTAATTGTTTTTTTTTATTATCGTATCAATACTTGTCACCGGCTTCTGTTTCACCTGCATAAGGTGGAAAACATTTCATTTTTATCTCTTAGACTTTGGGCTATTTTTTCGGTATATCATCGGTGATTGGTATTATCATTGATCTAATATCGGTCAGATTATATTTTTCGATCTAACACCCTTAGCAGGAAAGCGCGTCCCCATGATCTGTGCTATACGCTGATTTGATGTCACGTGGGTATAGCGTGCCCCCTGCCCCTGCGATATACGGTGATCTAGCGCCATGTGGGTATAGCGCGCCCAATGATCTGCGCTATACGCCACGTAGGGGTATAGCGCGGAACAAGGGCCGCGCTATACGCCGTACTAAAATTATATTTTACGCGGTCCCTGATCCACGTTATATCTTTTATCTAAATAATTACATATAGCGCGGTGCAGGTACCGCGCCTTATATGCTTATAAATGCACTCCTCCGGCTCACATCTCCTCGCATCTCTCCTCTCTTATAAATTAATACAACAATTCCGTCAACGAGTAATAATTCTCGCAATATTCTCAAATTTGATTTAGAAGTTAGTGAGATTTTTCGTTAAAAGGTAATTTTGTTATAATTTTTTAATTATACTTATTGTTTATTATCATTATCTGAAAAAATATTATACTAATTATTTTCAATTAATTTTTATGTTTGTAAAATTGAAAAGCGGGAGCATACGTCGAAATAATTTTATGGTGCAGGTAATAATATAAAATTATATTATTTAAACTATTTACGTTGATGTGTAAAAAATTTATTGTGTTATATTTTCGTTCATATATAATTTATTTAATCAGGTTTGTTTAAGTTATTTTTTTTTGCAGATATAATATTGTCGCACTTTTAAACTCAAAGAATGACGTGACTTTCAGCTATTGTTTATTATGATGGTGAAATTCGAGAAGATGAAACCGGTGTTGTTTTCGTATCAAATGAGCGTGTTAAAATATCATTCAAGAGAAACATAACTCTTGATGAGCTAATAAAGAAGATTTCGAGGAAGATTCATGTTGGAAGTAACAAAAGAATGTCGTCGTTGCAGTACAGATTTCCAACTTCATTGTTGCCATTAACTTATACAGCGTTCGAACTTTCGAATAATGATGATGTTCAAATGATGGTTGAAGCTCAAAGTAATTATTCAGACGCCGCTATTGAGATGTATGCACATTTTGTTCAAGTGCGTGCTGTTCGGGGTCAATCTTTAAGCTCACACTATGGGCCGGCTGAACAAGTTGATAAAGTTGACAGCCCGACTACAATAATGTGTAATGATTTTAATGCCATAATGGGGAGACATTCATCCGCAACTCCTTACGATATGTATCGAGGTGGGTCCACGAGCAATCCGTATGGCAACACCGCGTCCAGTTCATGGGGAAGGCATTCATCTGCAAATTTCTTTGACCATATAGAGATGCCATCGACGCAACCATCTGTGCAGTTTCCATTTGACACGATGGCTTCAATCTCCAGGGGGAGGCATTCGACTGCGAGATTTTTTGATCTCAATGTCGATATGCCTTCCAGTTCAAGGGGAAGACGTGCAAGTAGTAGGTTCTTCGACCTAAATGTGGAGAGCATGGAAAAAACCACTATCTCCACCAAAAGAACCGCTTCGTGAGCCTGGTGTGGATGGTGCTGAGACTGGATTATTTATTCACCCATAATCACTGCAATTCAACTCCGATGATGATGAAGTTCCAGGAAATGTGGCACAAACTGACCCTCCTGCACACATGTATGAAGCTGATTATGGTGCAATGTACGGGCCAGAATTTGCGGATTATCTCGGTGACTATGGATATTACTCATCAATAAATAATTGTGAGTTATCTTTAGGCATGGAGTTTTCAAGCAAAGAAGAAGCGATGATGGCTATCAAAAATTACAATATTCGTAATTCTGTTCAGTCCACAGTCAACCGATCGACGACCAAAAAATATGTATGCTACTGTGCCTGACGCGAAAACAGATGCAATTGAGTGGTTCGATTATCGAAAATGAAGAGGAAAAACAACATCTGGGAACTAACAGTATACAACGGTCCTCACACATGTTGTGCTAGAGGGGTCAACCAAGATCATCCAAACTTGGACTCTGAAGTGATATGCTAAGCCATCATGCCCATGGTAAAAGCAAGATGTCATATAGATGTTGCAGTGTTAATTTCAGCTATATAATCGCAGTATGGGTACACCGTCTCCTATAAAAAAGCTTGGTTGGCAAAACAAAATGCCATTGTCAAACTTCATGGTGAATGGGATGCATCTTACAACGAACTTACAGGTTGGTTTAGGCTGGTGCGGACGTTGAATCCTGGGACAATTGTGGACTTGGAAACCTCCTATGCATACCATAATGATCGAGTTCTTCGCGAGCGATGCCAATTCTACCTGGTTTTTTGGAGTTACCCACAGTGCGTTAATGTTGCCAAATACTGCAAGCCTGTGGTCCAGATCGACAGACCTTTCTTGTATGGAAAATACAAGCAAGTTTTATTTTTGGCAGTTGTCCAAGATGGCAATCGCAACATTCTTCCAGTTGCTTTTGCTCTTGTCGAAGGAGAAGATACAGATTCTTGGGCTTTTTTTCACCGAAATTTATGTGCACATGTTATCACGAGGGAAAAAATTGTGTCATTTCAGATCGCGGAGCTGGGATCAAAGCAGCAATGGAGTCTTTGGGTCCAATGTGGCAACCACCCTTTGTCCAACATAGGTATTGTCTCCGACACATTGCTGCGAACTATCATGGAAGGTACAAGAAGAATGATGAGCGTCAATTAATTGTGCGCATGGGTAAGTGAAAGCAAGTTAGTAAGTTATACATTTTTTGATCATTTTAATTTTGCAAAGAAAGCAAGTTAGTAAGTTATACATTTTTTGATCAGGTTACGAACTACTTCCTCGAGCGTTTGAATCAATGCTTCAAGATTTACGGGCGAAGAACGAGGAATGATACGATTACATCAGCCTCATCGATAAAGAAATGTGGACGAACGCATATGATGGTGGATATCGATATGGACACATGACGACCAACTTGGCTGAGGCAATCAATTAAACCTTAAAGGGTGCACGTCACTTACCTGTAGCGGCTTTGGTAAAAACTATATATTTTTTTTGGGGGCGCTTTATGCGAATCTCGGGGGACAAGCTCAAACCTGGATGCAAGGCAGTCATGTCTATCACCCTAGATTAGTTGCAGATCTACAGAAAAAAATTGCTGCATCAAATGGAATGTCTGTAACAAGCTTCTCTAGAAGGCATGAAATGTTTCATGTCACAAAGTTTCCCCGACCTCTTCAAGGGATTGAAGTTGTGTCGTTAAGAGTAAATCTAAGGGACAGAGCGTGCGACTGTGGGTTTTTTTCAAGCTCTGAAGTATCCATGCTCTCATGTGATAGCAGCTTGCTCGCATATACGTCAAGACTATAACCATTTTGTGGATCCCGTATACCTACTATCTGAAGTTTTTAAGGTATACGAATTTGAGTTTCCCCTATAGGTAATGACAAAGACCCTGATGAGGTTCAAGATTGGCTTCTAATTGTACCAAATCTAAGTTTATTGAGGGAGCGTGGTCGTCCAAAATCCAATCAAATTCATTGCGATATGGATATTCGAGAAAGATCTAGACAAGATAGAAGATGTGGCCATTGTAGAAACCCAGGACACACTAGAAAAACATGTCCACTTCTGTTGTCATCAAGTATCAATTGATGAGGAAATGATGTATTTGTTTATCAAATAATAATTCTTGTATTTTAATTTGCATTTACTTCAAGTTAATGGCATTCGATAATCGCTGATGAATATTAAAAAAACGAACACAATTATTAAATTTTATCAAACTAATAACAATTTGATATTTAAATACAACAAACTTACAATAAGAATTAAATGGTAAATGATAATCAAATTACAATAACTAATATTAAATGGTAATAAACAAAATTAACTAAAATATATTAAAAAAATCAAACAAATTTAACAAAATAAAGTAAGTATTAAATAAGAAATAATAAAAAATTACAATTAAACAAAATAAAGTAAATACAAATATAATAAAAAAAATCTATCGATGCCTGCGTCGCGAATGTGTTCCGTATGGTGGTGGTTGTCGGTCTCGAGGAGGATTTCTTCTTATCACTAGTTCTGACTCCTCGCTGTCATCGTCGTCGTCACCATCGTCATCGTCGGCATCGTCATTGTCCTGAGCAGGTACATCAGGTTGATGAGGAGCTGATGACGATGAAGCACCTCCATAGAATAAGGACCTTGGAGGTGTATGACTGACTATCCCACCGGCATGCGAAAACTGGGAAAACCCAGACATCGCTAAGTGCGAACACTGTACAGGAGATGTCTGTGTTGCGGCCATGGGTGATGAGGATGAACCCATCAAATATCCAGCATATGAACCCCAAGTCAGATCTGCAAACATAGACCCATAATAGCCTCCAGGAGGGGTCATCTGTGGCGGTGGCGGGGTCATAAAACCAAGTGAAGGCGGCGGCGGCAGCATCTGGTAATGGAAAGGCGATGGCGGCATCATATATGGCTGCGGTGGCTACTGGGAAGGTCATGCTGGTGCAGCTGAGGATGAACCGGAAGCACCTGCTCTCCGTCCACGAGTCGGGGGACGATGGTGCTGTGTCGATGAACGTCTCTGTCGACGTCGTGGAAAGGTATGCCCTCGTGCATCATCGGGAAGTAGAAACGGTTTCCCGTTACTGTTGAACCACTCATAATAATCCTCAGCATACATCAAGAGGTCATCAAAAATGGGCTCTCTACGGGGAAGGCGCTAATGTCGATCCTCCCACATCACGACCCACCCATGATGTCTCACCAGTCAATCTGTATCTATCTTGCCGCGTCTATCTAAGGTATGCAACTCGCCCATATTGCGAGGTGCTTCCGGAATTAGTTGAAAACAACCAAACTGCCGGAGTACGCGATCAGTGGAGTGTCACTCGACGGTCGCATAACAGATCAGAGGGACCATCGCCATCCAAACATCTGATGGACCCCTCAAATCAGGTGGGATCACCGCCCTCACATCATCAGTAGAATATGGCACCCATTCAAACTAAAACAAATATTATAAAATTTTTATCAAAATAATAATCTAATTATATAACTATAATCTAAAATCGATTTTTAAACATTAAAATTCATACTTGTGTGCCAGCCTTCTGATCGATTAGCACCCTAATTTTTTCTAAATCATCAGGTAGCTCCTGATGATTTTTCCTATCAGTAGACCACCTATTCAAGGAAAAAAATTTGTTATACGCTATATAAAATTATTAATATACAAAATCAGTTTTATAATTACCTCAGAAGTAGTGGAAATACGAATGGGTTCTTCACAACGAGACATAAAAAGGGCAATCGATACCATGCCCAAGACTGCAGCAGCAGGAGACATCCGCCGATAGCATTACGCCTGTAGTCAGTCCACACATCTCCCTGTACAGCAAAGCCAAAACTGTCGAGCCCCAACTGAATGATCCGGCGAGACGAAAGTCGCTAAGATGTCGCAACCACATGCAGTGAACTAGGTTGCACGATTTTTCCGGCATCAACAACCCTCCTATCAGCTGCAGTATGCATGCCCGTGCATACATCTTAACCTCATCCTCAAAAGCGTCTGCGCTCAACTCCCGAAAATTGGCATATAACCAATTTAGCGGTATCCTACATCCGATAAAATTTTCCGGGACACGTCCTATACTATCCCAACACAAAGTAGTCCAAGAACCGGAAGCTTTCCCCGATATCACATCTCCATCCACTGGAAGCCCCAGGTGCATAGAAACATCCTCAAGCGTGATCGTGCACTCTCCGCACTAAAGATGGAATGTGTGGGTCTCCGGCCTCCACCGCTCTACTAAGGCAGAAATCAGGTCTGGCTCTATCTTACAATAACCCTGATATCTACCTATGTAACCGAATCCAGCCTCTACTAAATACGACAAGACACGGCTGGGTATCACTAACTTAAGATTCCTAATAAAAGGATATAATACACGGTACTTCTCCTAAAAATAAATAATTACAAAAATTAATTCTTAATCTAATAATCATGCATTAAATGAATAAACTAATTATTACTAATAATTTAAATTAAATTAAAACGTTAAAATGTTACCGTATCAGCAAAGTGTCAAGATATTTAATTCTTAATCTAATAATCATGCATTAAATAAATCAACTAAATATTACTAATAATTTAAATTAAATTAAAACGTTAAAATGTTACCGTATCAGCAAAGTGTAGAGATATATGATTTCCATCCGAGCGAAGTAAACTGCCTTCCATTATATATATGTAAAAGAATTATATTAGTAAAATATTAAATAAAGTAAAAACATAATAGTAAAAATATTATAAAATATACCTTAAAAAGAGAATATTTGAGAGAAATTTAGAGAATTTGAGAGAATTTGGTGTGATAAAAGTGATTGAAGATAGGGGTATTTATAGGGAGGATGGGGACGTGAAGGGTTGGTAATTAGGGTATAGCGCGTCCCCTGCACCGCGCTATACCTCACGTGTCAGATATCCAGGTATAACGTGAATCAGGGGGCGCGCTATACCCACATGGCGCCAGATCACCGCATATCGCGGGGCAGGGATCGCGCTATACCCACATGGCCCCAAATCAGCATATAGCACGGTGCAAGGGGCGCGCTTTCCTGCTAAGGGTGTTAGATCGGGAAATATAATATGACCGGTGTTAAATCGGTAATAATACCGATCACCGGTGATATACCGAGAAAATAGTCTAGACTTTGGTTGGTAGAATTAAAAAGAAAGATTAAAAGATTAAAAATTAAATAATATGTAATTTTATAAACATTGAATAAATCAAATGATTGTAAATAAAAATAAATTTAATTTTAAAATTTCATCATAAATTATAAATTACCTAATTTATTAATACTTTGGATGCATAAAATATTAAACCTATATATTATTATCATTTGAAAGATCCATATCTGTCTTGCACATATAAACATGACCCTAAACCATAAAATCATATGTTTTTCATCCATAAATGAGACTCATTAATTAACCCTTTTTTCTTTTATCAATGTTGCGTGTTGTTTAAGTAGGGCTGTATATAAAAAAATATCCTTCTAACTATACTCTTTTTTTTAAATTAATGTATAAAATATTTTTTTCGATCAATTCAAATTTTAATATTATCACTTTAAGTATCCGATCAACAATATTTAAAATTTTTTATTGAGTGACACATATCATGTTCGAAAAACTTTAAAAACTTTATTTAAAAAATAACTTTAAAAATTTTAAAAATTTATTTAAAAAATAACTTAAAATATTATTATATTAAAAAGTTCAATTTTTTTTAAAATTATAAAAAATTCACAAATCCATAAAGATTATAAATTCAACATTAACCCTAACCTTATTATCTCCCTTCTCAATCACGATCACAGCCACCATCGTCGCTGTTGTTTTCATCCTTTCTAATTGTTGTTATCCATACAGTTTCTTATACCGTCGGGTCTCATGAGATCGCAAATTGTCATGGGGTTTCTCGGTAAATGTTCGTCAGATGGTTGTTTATCAGGTGGAGATGAGATCAAGAGTAGATTCGATCGACGATAACGACAACGACATGGGTATACAGGATTTGAGTTGGAGTTTTCACAATTTTGAATTTTTTTTAATTTGGAAAAATTAAATTTTTAAAATTATAATTTTTAAAATTTTATTTAAAATAAAATTTTAAAAATTATTAAGACATAACACGTGTCACTTAATAAAATATTTTTAACTATTATTACAATTGGAGCACTTAAAATGATAAAATATTTCTAACATTACACATTTAAATTGACAAAAGAATTGAAACGTCAGTTTAAAAAATAGTATAATTTAATCACTTTTTTATATAAGTCTTTTTAGGCATTGATCCTTTGAAAATTTATCATTGCTTATTGAAGTTTACAACTCTAATGGTTATCTATTAAGTTTCACACTATATTTATATATCCACACTTTATTGTTATACACTTTCGTCCATTGTTTCGAGGCAGACTAAGAAATTTAAATTTACCTTCGGAAACATGGATACGAACTTGCCTTAATCTCTAGAGTCCCAAACTGAGAGCGGCCTTGGCATCCAGCCGCCATGCCAATCCACCGTAGCTCAGCCTCCAAACGTCGCAGGGAACCGTTTTCGAGCAATTCTTACCGTTTTCGTCGACGTACCGCAACCGTGCGCGGCAGGAGAATGCGCCGCTAGGAAAGACGAACCAGTCTTTCACAACCAACTCCACGGCGATTTCCGAGCGTTCTTCCCCCTCCCCCTCGTCCTCCAATCCTACCATGTTTTTATAAGCTCGGTTCACCCACAAGACCTGGTTCAATCCATCCGATATAAAACCTGGACACGTGTCCTTTTCGAGATTCTTCATTTTCTCCACGTCTGTACATTTCGCCATCTCTCCTTCGTCAATGCAAGTTTCCATCACACTCTCCACCATCAACGACGACCCAACCACCGTTTTCCTCGTCCGCCACCCCGGATTGGATATGGACAACCCCTCGTGGTCTGCCGCAATCATTTTCTTCAACGTCAAGCACAGCGATGGTGGATCTTGAAAACGATAATTATTAAGACCTAAAGCTCGATCAGGATCATCATCGTCGACATCCCATGATCTTCCAACAACGATTGATTCCCTTAGATCTGCTTTCTCCGGCATCAACTGTAGGGTAACGAAACTCTTATTTTCATCCTTATCTTTAGCTTCATTCAAGATTCGTTTCTTCCTAGTATTATTTTTCTCACAAACCCTAACGTACTTTCTCTTCGACCTCTTGCTAGTAACGACCGAGTTCTTGCTATTAAACTGGGAACCACAGGAATATGAATCTCCAGTGACCGGTTTTGGAGCGATCGGACGGAATCTGAGCATTACACGGTTAGTTATTGTCTTATCGTGTGCACCCCCAGAGCACTTTAGCATGCTCCAGTCACCTCCACCCTCCATTTCTCGGTTTTCTAAGGGGGAAAAAGGGCGCAGTCCTAACAGTAACTCCCTCTCCGTTTTATCTTGAATTTTCTTTGTGTTTTTAATTTATTATTCGGATTATTTTACTTATTTTCACCTAGGGGATGGTTTACCGGAGAATAATGAAGAGATAATCATAGTGGCAGACATCGTGGCCAAGATCTGAGAGAACACGTGTCGTACCGTCGTGCCGTGGCATATGGAACGATGACGACTCTTGATTGGTTGATAGACTATGACTACGTGTATTAACATCCGGGAAAGTAGACGGCACGTGTCGGTATATCGGCGAATCGCATAAATGTTTCTGTTTTAAGCGAGGTCGCTTTATAAATTTTCAATAGTTATTGGGAGATCTCTTTAAGATTATGTCACCACACGGTACATTGTTATTTGTTACTTGTTTACCGATGAGCAAGTTTAGTGTACAGTCACCATCCAGTATGCTTGCAGCGAAGCGCGTGAATCCAAATGTTGATTTTTTTTTTAAAAACTATAAATTACAAATAATCAAGATAATTATGGGTATAATATAATAATTGGGTGAAGAGACCTATGTGAAAATTTTATTAGGTGTGACCAAAATTTAATTTGATTTAAAAAATTTAATATTTTAATTTTGAATTTGATGGTAATATGGATTTAGAAAAATAGAAAATTAAAATTATATTATTTTGACATTTAATAAATTTATATTATTTTGACATTTAACTAAGTAATATTATTATTTTATAATTTAATATATTTATATATATTTTAGATTTATTTTTAAAGTTTTTATCAAATTTAAATCACATATCATTTTTATTATTTTGTTGAACTTCCAAGTTGGTACATAGAAGGTTTATAAAAACAAAAATCAAATCATTTAAGTTTAGTGATTTGGTGCTTACAAGAAATTACCTAAATAAATTTATAATATGATTTTAGTGGCTAAAATCGATGTTATTTTTTATTGAGAGTTTAAATTTAAATAATTATATAAATGTGTATACATTATCAATAATAAAAAAGTTACAAATAAAATATTATTTTTAATCACCAAAATTATTAAAAGAAAAAAATTTACCTTCCTTGGAAAACTAGTAATTGAATATATTTATTAGATTCGGATTAATCTAATAATATATTTTATAATTAAAAAATAATAAAAAGTTAAATATATTTATTTACTTAATTAAATAGTAATTCAAGTAGAGCCGGTCTATCCATACTCAAAAGTGTTTGTCCACTGTTCTTTTAGAGTCACTACCTCACTTCGTTTAATTATACTAGAATTTGCAACTCGTACTTACAGTACGGTGAAAAAAAATATTTGTATATAAATTTTATTTTTCGAAAAAAATATATGCTTTATAATAGAAAAAGAGTGAATAATAAGTAATAAAATAATTTTAATATTGTTTAAATACATAATTATTTTAAGTTTGAACTGTATTAATACTTCATGTGTTTTTATAATGCTCCTGGTTTTGGCAGTTTGTTGTTGTAGGTTTTTCTTTAAGGAATATGTGTTGTAGCATCTGCTAATATGAAAATCTAAAAATTAAAAAATAAGGTTCAACAATTTTAATATTTTTTAACAAAATAAATATACAAATATTTTTTTCTCTTTTCTTTAATATATTGAATTATATTTAATAATTTATCTAAAATAATAAGATACTTAATATATTGAATTATATTTAATAATTTATCTAAAATAATAAGGTACACTTGACCCCTTAGAGAACCAAACGTATCTGCCTTGATATGAACTCCATTTGTTGTTGTTGTTGTGATTATGGTTTTCACAATTATTTTAATAAAACTAATATATAATTATTTAAGAAAAAAGACAATGATAGGACAAGATAATTTATATTAATTTAAATAAATTTATTTGGTTGTGATTTGTGTTCTTATACATGACTGTTTTCTAATTGCAAAGATTTTTTATAAATTAGAAAGATTTATTTTGTAGGTACTCTGATTTTATTTATATATTTTATTTTTAATATAAAAATAAAGAACTAATTAAGAAAAAAACCAAGCAGAGCTTAATTACAAATTTATATCTTGTAATTTTTTTTATATCTGAGACCTTTTTTATTTTATATAAAGAGACCAAAGATATAAATTAATCATTCTATTTAACCTTTCATTTGTTGCATTGTTGATACAAATATTCTGAAAGTTGGATAACTATTAATTTATTGAGATGATAATAAAAGATATTAATATTTAATTAAATAATTAGTGTGACATCTAACTTTTAAGAATATTTTAATATCTAACGTTTCATTTTAGGTAAAAAAATCCTTTGATAAATGAAAATTGTTAGTCAACAAATGATCAACGCTCTAAAATAAGAGCTTTTTTCCCCTAAAATGAAATGTCAGGGCCAAAATGCTCCAAGAAAAGAATAAGGATTAAAGTGATTATTTAATTGAACGTTAAAAATCTTTCTATACTAAAAATGAACTGTTGGGGGGTTCAACATGCTCCAAAAATGAATATAGGCGAAAATAATTATTTAATCAAACGTTAAAGACATTTTTTACATTATGCCTAATTTATTTTATTTCATCATGTAAAGGCTCCGGAAGAGCTTGTGAGTGACAAAAATCCCATCATGTTTAAACCCTTTGACTACGAATAATATTTGAGGTTTTTCTTCTCCCAGGTCTCTCTTGGTCATATTGAATCTCATCTCCAAGCTTATTGCAGTGTTTAAGATTTGGGCACAAGTATTTGTCATGTATATCCAATTGTGTGATCAACCCTCTTCTCTAGGTCTTTCTCTCTCTATGCATTTCAAAATAATAGGGTAAAAGAAACTTGCCCGATTAAGGTTTGATGTAAGGAATTGTGTGATCAAGCTCTTGGTCTTTCTATATGTCTCAATGTGTTCTGCTCAATTATGGGAGTATAGTTTTGAACCTGTTACTGCAGTTTTTTTTGTTAAGAATTGGAAAATCACTGAGCAATGACAAAAAAATGCTGGAAAAGTAAAACTTACACCCAAAGTTATTGATGCAGTTTGTTAGAAATAATTTAGTACAAGAAACAAAACTACCAGAAGAAGATTGCAGTGATCAGGAATTTGAATAATGAAGCAGCAAATATTTGAGAATTAAATGAAAATTATGTTCTACAACCGCAAATCAGAATCTAGTATCGTGAAAAAACTATCTACGAACACAGACTGTATCTCTAAGACCAATTCGAGGTCCAAAGTAAGAAAAATCATCATAATAATAAATAAATATCATATTGATTAGTCGAGATGATGTCAAACCCAACCCTGAAAAAATTAATCAAAAAAAGGTCAAACAACTGAAAATGTGTCATAAAGATAGAAGAAAACATGTGACAATAATAAAATTATTAATTAGAAACTAGAAAAAGACAGTAAAAATAAATATGTAATATAAAAAATAAATGTAAAACACATAATATACACAATCGACGATGAAGACTAAAATTAATATCCTCGTCGTATGTTAACAAAATGAAAAAGAAAAGCAAAACAATTTAATTGCCTTTAAGATTCAGAGATAAAAAAGAAAGAAAGAAGAGAAGTGGCTCCTTCTAAGTGTTTCTTTTAAGAACATTTAGTGTAAATTAGTAAATTAACTTATAACTTTATTATTTTTCAGAAATATATGTGATATATATGTTTTAAAAAGAAAGTAGTGAATAAAAAGAAATAAATAGTTGTTGAAATTTACCTTGTAAATTTGTAAAATAATCAATATTATATTTTTTTTCATAATGATATGATAATTTTCCTGTTGAGTTAATATTCGATTAATTTTTAATATTAGTTTAATAAGAAAAACTGTTTTAATATTAATTTAAGTCCGACCGATATTAATATTGTATATAAATATAGACTTAATATAAAAAATAAGTCCTTAAACTATGTCTCGAAAAATGTTTCAGTGTCTAAAGAATTTTTCGTTAAAAATAGGTGTCTAACGTTTTTTCCGTTATCATTGTAGGTGCCCAGACGTTAACCGTTGTTAAAAATCTCTGTTAAATGACATGTGTCACGTTCTGATAATTCTGAGATTTTTTATTTAAACAATTATTTTTTTAAAAAAAACCTTAATTTTTTTCAAAACTTAAAAAACCCAAAACTTTTAAAACTTTAATTTTAATCCCATTGCCATCGCCGGCAGCCACCAACGCCTTTATTCGGCCGAACACCCAACGATGTGTGACCAACCAACCACCCAAGACCAAAACCCCTATACTTTCACAACCGATCGAACATCCAAAAAATGATGTAAATTAAAGATTTTGTTTTAGGGTTTTGAATCCCTTATTTTTAGGAATTTATAGATTTAGGGGGATTTGGTGTTCGAACGATTCCGAAAGTATGGGGTTTTCATCGCGGGTGGTTGGCCGGTCACACGTTGTTGAGTGTTCGGTCGATTGACGGTGTTGGTGGTGGTTGGCGGTAGCAAAGGGATTAAAATTAAAGTTTTGAAAGTTTTGGGTTTTTCTTTTAAGTTTTGAAAAAAATTAGTTTTTTTAAATATATTTTTATTTTTATTTTAAATAAAAATAATCAAAATTACCAAAATGTTACACGTGTCACTTAATGGAGATTTTTAACATTGGTTATCTCCCGGACACCTAAAATGGTAACAGAAAAAATGTTAGACACCTATTTTTAGTGAAAAAATCTTTATATACTAAAACATTTTTCGATGTATAATTTGGACACTTATTTTTATATTAAGCCATAAACATATAATTAAGTATCAGGAGATGGTCTACCTATTATATTGCTCCTGATTTTGGCAGGTTGCCGTGGTAGGTTTTCCTTTGAGGAATATGTGCTATTGCATCTGCTAAGATGAATTCCTGTTATTGTAGTGGTTATGATTGTGGTTTTTACAATTATTTTAATAAAATTAATATATAATTATTTAAGAAAAAATACAATGATAGGATAAGATAATTAATTCACATTAATCTAAATAATATTATTTGATTCTGATTTGTGATCTTATACATTACTGTTTTCTAATGGTAAAGAAATTTGTTTATTGTATATAAAAAGACAAAAAAAAATATTAATATATTTTTTTAATTCATTATTAGTTTCTGATTTTTGTAGACTAATCTGAGTATAAATTCAGGCATTATATGTAGACATTAATCAGACAAGTCTTCCATTATCTGTTTGTATACATAATAAAAATGATGAGCTCAGGAACACCGATTAAGCTTCCGGTTATAGATTTCTCAAACCAAAACCTGAAACCGGGCAGCCCTGAATGGGATTCGATGAAACACCGAGTCCGTGAAGCATTGGAGGAGTTCGCTTGTTTCGAGGCTTCGTTGGACCAAGTGCTGGAGCTTCGAGATGCACTATTTGGAGCCATGGAAGAGGCCTTCGACTTGCCTTTAGAAACAAGAAAGCTCTATGTTTCGGACAAACCCTTTCGTGGCTACTATGGGCATCCATCGAAATTGCTTGAAAGCATGACGATTGATGAAGCCCAGATCGCTGAAAACATCGAACAACGCCTGACTACCACCATGTGGCCTCACGGAAACATAAGCTTCAGGTTCAAAAATAATCACTCTTTCAGTTAACTAACCCTTTTCTTTTTTCAATTCAAATATATTAACTAATCGGCGTTCATTTGGCAGTAAAACTCTGGTCTCTTTCACACAGCAATCAACTAGATTAGAGAAGACAATTAGGAGGCTGATTTTGGAGATTTTTGGCGTTGAAAAGTACGCGGATGAGCTCATCGACAACACGAATTACATGCTAAAGCTCAGCAAATATAAAGCGCCCCAAAATGGCGAGCCAACCAGTGGCATAGTTGCTCACACCGACCAGAATATGGTGACTCTATTGTATCAAAATGAGGTTGATGGACTGCAGATTCATAACAAAGATGGCGAATGGATGGATGTAAAACCCTCACCAAACTCTTTCATAGTTGTGGTGGGAGAGTCCCTCAGAGTAATGTCACTTATTCATCATACATTCTTCATTGTTTAAAACTCAAAAAAAGCCATTAATCACAAATAATATTATTACAGGCATGGTTAAATGGTGGGTTGTCTTCGAATTATCACCATGTCTTGATGAAGGAGAATAAGACAAGGTACGTGGTGGGATTATTTGCAGGCACCAGAGCAGGGTACCATGTAAAGGCTCCGGAAGAGCTTGTGAATGACAAAAATCCCATCATGTTCAAACCCTTTGACTACGAAGAATATTTAAGGTTTTACTCTGCCCAGGTCTCTCTCAGTCATTTTGGATCTCATCTCCAAGCTTATTGCGGTGTTTAAGATTTGAGTCTCGCTCTCTCTCTCTCTATATATATATATTAAAGATAAAAATAATAGGGTAATAGAAACTTACCCGATTAAGGTTTGATGTAAAATACCCCTACACACTTGTGATTTGAAAAGTATCCTATAACCTATGGTGCTAGACCTGATCTTAAAGGTTATTGAAATATCTAAGATTTGGGTATAGATACATTTGTTATATGTAATGTAAGGAATTGTGTGATCAAGCTCTTGGTCTTTCTATATCTATCAATGTGTTCGGTTCAATAATGGGTAATGACAAAAAAAAAAAAATTTACGTGTTACTCAATTGATCCGAACATTTTTTATCGTCCACGTCGTGCAAATGTATCCCAACTACGTCAGTTTTAGATTCACATCGAATTGTACTCTCCGTGCGCGAGGTAGAGTCTTATTTTGTAGGTTCTACAATATCCAAATTAGTTCATGTATATAAATATCTCCAACACTTGTATCCTACTAATGTGGTATATAAACTTCTCATTTTATTCAACATAATTCAGAAAACTATTCATAAATAGTTTTATGTGAGAATCAATTTCTTATTCATTACTCAAGTTTAATCATGTGATATATTGTTGTAAAGGTCTTATAAAATAGAATATAAAATCATAATTTTATGATTCGAACTTCTATCTTTACCCATTACAAATATGTTTCAAAGTTTCCAAAAAAATCAATTTTTTCGAACGGTTTGAACAAATTTATATTTATAGAACTATACTTTGAGATCAATCAACTATCATATAATTCTATTAAAGAAACTATCGAATGATAATACAAGAAAGCTTTAAATTCAAACTAGTTTAAACGCTCTTCCATTTCAAGACGGGAATGATCTCCTTCTAAGTTTTTCCTTATTGAACATTTAGTGTAAATTGATAGATTAATGTTAAAAGGAATTTTTACAGGAAAGGTGCTTCAACTATTTTATTTATCATAATAATAGTTTACAAGGCTAAGATCTTTATATACAACCACTAACAGTTATTAATCTAACTAACAAGCTAATAGATTAATAACAACCTAACTAACTAATAACTAAAATCTAACACTCCCCCTCAAGTTGGTGGTTAAAGATGTTAATTAACCCCAACTTGGAAATCAAGTATTCATGTTGTTAAACTCCCAAGGCTTTTGTTAAAATGTCTGCCTGCTGATCTATTGTCTTCACATACTCAGTTTCAATTATTCATTCTTGAATTTTCTCTCGAACAAAATGGCAATCAATTTCAATGTGCTTTTTTCTTTCATGAAAAACTGGATTTGTTGCTATTTGAAGAGCTGCCTTGTTATCACACATCAACTTTACTGTTCCTATGTTCTTGAACCCGAGTTCACTTAGCATACCTGTTAACCAAACTATTTCTGTAGCAGTCATTGCCATACTACGGTATTTTGCCTCAGCAGATGACCTTGCAATTGTGTTTTGTTTCTTGGATTTCCAGGACAGCAAGGAGTCTCCCAGTTTCACACAAAAACATGTTACTGACCTTCTAGTCATTGGACAAGTTGCCTAATCTCAGTCACAAAAAGCTTGAAGTTGGCACTGACTTTTTGCACTTAGCAACACCTCTTGACCTGGACTACCTTTAACATACCTGACCACCCTCAAAGTTGCCTCTAAATGTAATTTCTTTGGTTGCTGCATGAATTGACTCAGTAATTGCACTGAATAAGTAATGTCAGGTCTTGTGTTAGTAAGGTAAATTAAATTCCCAATCAACCTTTGATAACTTGTCTTGTCTTTTAACAACTCATATTCTGATGACAACCTTTTATTTTGCTCCAAAGGAGTTGCAGCAGGCCTAACACCCCCTAGTTTAGTTTCTTCAATTAACTCCAAGGCACACTTCCTTTGATTTATAACTATTCATTTTTCTGATCTCAATATTTCCAAACCAAGAAAATACCTTAATTCACCAAGATCCTTCATCTTGAAATTTCTGTTCAAAATTCCTTTGAGTTCTTCAATCAACCCATTGTCATTTCCAGTTATCAAAAATCTTCCACATATATGAGCATTATGACAATTTTGCTTCCTTGTGACTTAGTAAACAATGAATAATCAAACTTCTTTGAGAATAACCTGCCATTATAAATGCCTCTGTCAGCTTCATGTTCCACTGTCTTGAAGTTTGCTTTAGTCCATACAAGGATTTTTGCAGTCTGCACACCCTAGTCTCCCCTGACTGCAAAAACCTTCAGGAAATGACATGTATACCTCCTTAACTAAATCACCTTGGAGGAAAGCATTATAAACATCCAACTGAAAAGAATGCCAATAATGAATGGAAGCAAGAGCAAGAACTGTCCTGACAGTGACCAATTTTGCCACAGGAAAGAAGGTCTCAACAGAATCAACCCATTCTTTTTTAGTGTACCATTTAGCAACAAGACGAGCTTTAAACCTTTCCACTTCACCATGTGAATTGTATTTAGGAGTCTTATTAGAAGGCAGGGAAACCAATGACCAAGTATTATTGGATTCCAAAGCTAAAATCTCCTAATTCATGGCTTTAATCCATACATGATTTTGAATGGCTTCTTTATAAGTCTTAGGTTCAACCAAATAAAAGATAGAAGAAAGATAAATTTGAGTTTTAACATAGATATGAAAATAAGAATGAAAATTAGAAATGGGATAAGTACCTGGAAGAGAGGAAGATTGGTAGGATTACACATAATCATGTAACCAAACAGACTGTTTTTTGACCCTAGTAAACTGTCTAGGAGGGATAGAAATGCTACTTGATAAAGAATCATCAGAAACAATAGGTTGAGGTATAACAGAATCATTTGTTGAAGCTTGAGGTGATGCAGACTGGTATGAAGAAACAAAAGGTATAAAAGAAAAATTGGGCTGAGTAGTGTGAAAGGGCATGACCAGAAAGTCTGAATCAGAAACATCTTGAACAGGAAAAAATAATGAAGAAGAAGAAATAGGAAACTTAAAAGGAAAAATGTCCTCATGAAACTTTACATCTCTATTAACAAAGAATGTTTGTTTTTCAAGATTAAACATGAGATATCCTTTTTGAGTGGCAAAATAGCCCATGAAGATAGAAGGTATTGCTTTTGGAGAGAATTTATCTTTGTAGTTTGGTTGAGTATCATAACATAAACATCCAAAAATCCTCATATGAGAAAGATTAGGAGGTTTACCATGAAGGAGTTCAAAAGGGCTTTTGCCAGCTAAAAAAGAAGAAGATAACATATTAATTATATAACAAGCTGTGTTGACACATTCTCCCCAAAATTTATCAGGAACTTGGGAATGAAATTTTAGAGCTCTAGCTACCTTTAACAAATGTTTGTGCTTTTTTTCAGCAATACCAATTTGCTGAGGAGTATGAACACAAGAGCTTTGATGAACAATACCCAAGGAAGAAAAGAAAGAAGAACATTCAGTAACAAAGAACTCAGAACCATTGTCACTTCTACTGAACTTAATTATGACTAAAAAATGATTTTTCACATAAGCAAAGAACTGTTTTAAAGAGTGGATTGCATCACTCTTAAGCCTCAACAAGAAAATCCAAGATATCATTGTGTGATAATAAAAAATGGTAAGAAAATACCTATAACCATTATGAGTAGAAATCCTATAAGGCCCCCATAGGTCAATATGTATTAAATCAAAGGGTTTAAATGCTCTAGAAATACTTTGAGGAAAGGGTAACCTAGACAGTTTAGCAAGAGGAAAAATAGAACACTTATGGATACAATCAGCATGAAACTTATAAGATTGTAAATATGGTATTTTATGTAAACTGGAGAAAGAGGAATGCCCTAAATGTAACACCCCAACCCGTACCTTACCCGGATACGAGTCCGAGATGTCACATTGACTTTTTAAAACAATTTTTTACCAAATATCAGAATATTTGAACTTATATTAAGAAAATACGATGATATATTATTGAATCATGTCCGTTATAAAATTTTGAGGCAAAAACTTATTTATGAACAGTACTATACGGTATGAACAATACCATGAGCAGTAATGAACATCATCATGAATAGTGCTACAGTGTATCGATGCATTGTTACAGTATATCGATGCACAAAAAATATCGAAGCAAAATTGTGTATCGATGCACTGCTACAGTGCATCGATGTACTACTACAGTAACTTTCGTAAAACGTACATAAACTCATAAAAATTTAAGCTTTCATCCGTATAAAATTTATCAAGTACATATACACATTTAAAACATTACAAAACTCAATCGTATGACTTTTCAAAACCAATTAGAACATATCGGATTTAATCCTTTATTTACATACCAACCACTTTCCTTATTACAAAATACATACTATACATTTCTTTTCTGATTTAATCTTTGGAAAGGAGGAACTGATCTGTCTTGCATAACTTTTATCAATCTTCATATTCTCGAAATCTACGTGTGAAACAATCACACGCTAAGTCATAGACTTAGTGAGACATATAAAACATATAATAAAAACCATAAAACATCTCATATAACATAATACATACATGCATATATATATTATCATTATCATGATCTCTACCATTATCGTATGATTTTGTACTTATCATTTTTGTATATAATATAACACACATAGCATCATGTAATTCATGTAACATATTTCATATCACCAAAAGCATATACATCTCATATATTGTATTTGTTGTTATCTCTTTATTAGCCCATGTACATTATTGATAACTTAAGGTATTCGAGTTTATTGAGGTTGTGCACTATTGCTGTCACCATAGCTCGTATAAATGTCTTGAATGACCTATCTAGAAGTCATAAAGAACCTCGGCATCTGTCCATAGGTCCCGAAGAACCTACGTAAACTGTCCATATGTTCCTTAGAACATAGGTAATCCTGTCCATATGTCTCGAAAGACATAAGTAAACCCTCAACTCTTGGCATGCCAACTATACCACTAGCTCTCATATCATATAACATGAGCAATATCATTTATAACAATTCACATC